AGAGATCATTTGTTGTATTTTAAGAGAAAGTGATAAGTTACTAAAATTGTTTATACTTGTTGGGATGAAGGGAGAAATCATAAAATTACTATTAAAACGACATAATTGGCTTAATTCTACAAGAACTTGTGTTCATTTTGTGAGCTAGCAGGCTGTGTTCTTTTTACCCCTGTTCCATCACCACTACTTTCGTCTGAACAAATGTTTCAATCTCCAATTTTTCTGCAACAGGCACAAGCAGAAGACAATTTTATCCAATGGCCAGATCACATTTTGAACATGTCTTTGGCCATAAAGACATACATATATGCCCATTCTGCTGTTGCATTTTGGGGGAAGCAATATTATGCAAAGCACTGAAAAGGTTTAAAATAGTAAGAAAAGAAATTAAAATCATGAGATAAGAGAACGAAAATGGAATACAGCTAAATCTAATTTATATGGTTCATCTTACCTTTTTGCCCTTGCAAACCTACCTTCCTTCCATTGCATTCATATATGAGTTTATATATAGGCTTTTATTCTTAAACTTCTCATCTCTCTCTTCAACTTCATTCAGCCACAAGTTTTCAGTCTCCTCTTTCTTGTCAACTGATTTACTCTTCCTTCATAGATTGTGTTTTGTGACATTCTCTCTCTGATCAAACCATCTCAGTGTACTTCCTTCATTATGTTCACTTTTTTATTCAGTCTATATTTATTCATCACCCATTTATTCTTGACCCTATCTATTCTTTTGTCATACATACTCCTTAGGTACCCCATTTCCATTGATTTCAATTTAGTTTTATGATTCTCTGACATGTAGAACTCTCACCTCAGTACAAAAGATGGATAGAAACATGTTCTTATGTGCAATCATTTTTGCTTTTTCAGCAAAAATTCACAGGTCAATATTATCCACCACTTTTCTACCAGCATTAGCATATCTTAAAACCATTCAGTTTTTCATTTTTAGTAAACACATTCTACCAAGGCACATCAATCTATCTGCTTTAGTTTTTCACTATTATGTATAATTTGTAATAATTCACTATTTCCTTTGTCAAACAAAACTAGCTTGGTCTTCGGTACATTAATTTTCAGATACAGTACATGCTCCTTGTTGCATCATACAATCTATCTAACGTTCATTGTAAATCAATCGGTTTTACAGCATCATATTTTATATGCAACAAAGTACAAATACAGTTTGTTCTTTCCCCCAACACACCTCTAACATCACCACAAGCATTCCTTTCATGCTTACCCATAAGTACATCAGGGGGATATCGCATATTCTTGTCTTATTCCCTGCCCAGTATTGAACTATTCACTTCATATCATGTTATTAATTAATTCGATTTTTTATACTGCCACAATCATGCAGCTTTTAGTGCTCTGCACACAAAGCATCCACAATAAAATACATGTGATATTTTTAAAAATCCAACCAAAATTAAATTACAATTTATATAATGCATAATTACATAAAATACCAGTGGCAATACCAAGACCTCCATTGTAACCTGCTTCCACAGTGCTAGCAAGATCAAGGTAAGTCTAATTTCCTAGGGAAGACCATTCCCCAGAGAAAATTTGTACCAGACGGGACAGTTCCAGCTGAAGAAGATGGTTCTGGAAATACTGACATGCCTTTATAGGTTAAAAAAAACTTTTAATTACACCCTGAAACTCACTGTGCTTGTGGCATCATATGCCCGTAACAGACCAGCTACTGCATATTATATCTGCAGTTTCCAAATGTTCCTTAAGGCAGCACCATGTAGAGCACATTGCAACAGTCCAGCTGAGTGGTGATGAGAGTGTGAGTCACTATCCCAAGATCCTCCTGCTCCATGCAAGGCCATAACCAGTGCACTATCCAGTGCTGGGCAAAGGAGCCCCAGCCCCAGCTTCTATTTGCTCACTGAACAGAGCCATCAACCTGCTCTGCTCAAGATTAATCTAGCCCCTAACTCTTTTCTATAATATCACTTGCACCTTCTCTTTTTGCAGTTGATTCTTCATTCACTGTAGCTTCTTTCACTTCTTTCCTTTACAGTACTTCCATGTCCATTTTTCCTAAGGTCCCTTCCTTCTACTTATACCACATTTTCTAATCAGATGCCCACCAAACAGCTGCCATTCTTATTCATTTTTGAGTCATCAAATGGCTGAATAACTTTTCCTATACTCTTACATCTCATTTGCACCCACCCATCTGTGTCATCCAACTCTCTCTCTCTCTCTCTGTCTCTCTGTCTCTCTGTCTCTGTCTCTGTCTCTCTCTCTCTCTCTCTCTCTCTCTCTATATATATATATATATATTTGCCTAGATTGCATTGTTTCAGAATGTTGTACATTTTTTTCCATAAATGTATTGCCGGTTCTTCCATTATCACCATTCATTGGAATATAACTTGTAATATCACTAACTTACAGATACCATATGCACCTACAACAACCTAGATGATACTAATTCATACTTTCTGCCATATATTTTACATATTCTCATTTATAATTAACCTACATCTTCATTTCTATGATCATATTCATCCATTTTATTCCACAAGATTAACCACTTTCATTCAGTCCTTTTATGTCTGTCTCCTTTCTCTTATTTAGTCACAGAATATCTCTATTTTTCTTTCATTCATTAACTTCTGCTCTGTACTATTGATTCCTCTTTCATTTCATTTTTCATAGGCTTTCAGACCTAGATTGGGAAGTCAGAAACAATATCGCAGAAGAAGGTAATGGTAAACCATTTCTGCAGTGTTGCCAAGAAACCTGCATGGACCTGTTTAGGAAGTTGCCAGGAGACAAGATTGACTCAAAGGGACAGAGAGAGAGAGAGAGAGAGAGTTTAGCAGCTTTTGTTGTACTGAGCCACCTGCAGTATTCCCTGATAATGATAAGGACAATGCTGTCAGTTTTTTAACATGTTGGCTAATATGCCCCAAGCACAACTGAAGTTCAACAGTACTCTAAGCATGTTCACCATATTATATGCAATCTAATATCTCTAATCTAGAGAGTACTTTGTAAGCCAACATATTTTGCCCATATCCCACTAATTACAAGGTGCATGCAGTATATTTATGGTCAAGAAGCCCCCCTTTTTTTTGTTGCCAGTGTATTTTTTTCCTGTATAATAGGTTTATAAGT